TCGTTTCAGGCTAAAAAGGCTATTGCCATTTTTAGTCTGAAACGACACAGGGACTGTAGGCCCCTGTTTGCAGGCTTTCGGGCTGAACAGTCACGGGTATGTCAGATGACAGTTTTTCACAATCGATGGAAAGTCACAACATCATGCAACAAGCATAGTCTTCAACTCGCAGAACAAAAGGGAACAGACGAAGGAAGAATAAGAATAAGAATAAGAAGAAGCAAAGGAGACAGGTGTCCCGAACGCGACTTAAATTCGAAAGATAATAACATGAAGAACAAGCGGAGACCGAAGTATCCGCACGGCGTTACGAACTCGCTGAACAGTCACGGGGCCTGTAGGCCCTGGTTTTCAGGCTTTAAGCCTGAATTTCAGGCTTTGAGCCTGAGGGACGCAGGGCCTGGAAAAGCATGTAACATGGTGGAGGTGGCGGTAGCATCAGTGGTTAGTATTAGGCTATCCTTCGGGAGGAAAACACGACGCCCAAATTATAACGATCTCCATGAAAGTATAATAAGTTAGTATTACGTACTATCAATGCTCAATTATGATTTTGTATTTTATGTAAATCGTCATAGAGATAGTCGAAGTGATGAAGTCCATATTTTTAAATCAATACATACATCCAAGAAAAAAAACAAGCCTCAACCTACTGATGCTGGCACAAGGGAACACAGAGACATGCAGGCATATGGAACAGAGCAGGCCCCCTGATAGTTTAATTTGTTTTAAAGAAAACAAAAGAAAGGTTGCTTTTTTGTTTTGTATTGAAGGCTAGAAACCGGTTCGAGCGTCACTTACAGTTTACTCAGTCCCAAGGCTGGGCCAGCAACCAGCCGGTTCAGCTCCCCCGGTCCATTTTTTCTTTGGGGGGGTTCCAACTTCCCAGGGGCAGGGGGGTGTATTATTGGGATGTTCAGGGAGGGGTATGGCTTTCAGGTGGAGGGGTCGAGTAAACAAGCTTACTTATCTAACCCCCCCGTGGCCCAAAAATTTCAATTCAGCAACATTGGGTATCGTGCACTAAGCCAGCAGATATTCACACCCAAACAGATGAAAGAGACATGTTGAGAGAAGGTCCCTGCCAAAACTTATACAGCTCTTCCGGAGTACCGTGCTCCACAGCTGCGGACAGCAAAAGCGTTATGGATTCAGGCTGCAGCTCCTGCAGGCAGAGCTGAAAGGATTCACGCTGCAGACGCCCAGTACCGGTCCCTGGGTCCCGACAAGTCCCAAGTCCCAGGGCCATCCAGTAGGGTAGGCCGTAGGGTCTAGAGGCCAAAGTATTGTAGGTCGGTAGGTGTCAGTACCGAAGCCTCGTAGGTCGGTAGGAGTCCGTCCGGTACCCGACAAAAAAAGTCCAGAAGCGTCCAGTCCAGTCCAACAGTCCCAAGTACAATTTTGCAGCATGTCCCAGGAAAGTCCGGAAACTACCGGACCGACAAAATGTTTGCAGCAGACAGGCCGGCACCGGTCCGAAGCAGGCCAAGCCAAGCCCAGCCAAGCCAAGCCAAGCCAAGCCAAGTCCTATATTTCGCTGCTACAGTGCAGCGGCTCATCACTTGTTCAGTTGCGAGATGCGGAAGCGCTGCTGCTGCTTGTGCGTTAAGACAACTTGGGAACTGCACGCCCGAGGAAGAGACGGTGCCCGCCAGTGACTCCATAGCTAGGATACCGTTAGAGCAGGAGGACGGCTGCAGCGGCTCATCACTTGTTCAGTTGCGAGATGCGGAAGCGCTGCTGCTGCTTGTGAGTTAAGGCAACTTGGGAACTGCGCACCAGAGGAAGAAGAGGGCGCCCGCCAGTGACTCCATAGCTAGGATACTAATAGAGCAGGAGGCCAGCGGCCATCGCCACCAAGGTGTAAGCTTACTTGAGTATGGTGACAATCTAGGTTAGAGAGAGAGAGAGGGTGCGGCAGAGCGAGCCAAGTCAGGGAGAGAAGCAAGAGAAGAGAGAGAGAAGAGAGCAGAGAGAAAAGCCATAGCCGCCACTTGATTGTGATCCGTTGTCTGTGTGTGTGGTAGAGCCGCTGGAGACAAACATTCTTGTATTATATTGATAATAATACGAGAGACGACATCTTCAAGTGTTGATTGTATCTCGATTTGACTTCTCACGTGTGAGCTCTCGTGTGAATGTTCATTGATGTCTGTGAGGTGTGACTTGACAAGTACTTGGTTCCTTTCAGAGCATTTTCTGTTTGCTTTTTTGGTACATACGGTGGGTCATCAGTCCGGAAGTATTTGTCTGGCAGTCTGTCCAGATACATGTAGTAGAGTGAGGTTCATTCTTGGGCTTTCACCTCAGACAGCATTGTTACTCTGGCTTCACGGGCCGAAACCCAAACCCATAACTTTCTCACCAGAGCATAGGGACGTCACAGAAGCATATAATCTTAGCAAAGCCAGTACATCAGCATATGGTTTTCCTCCTGGTTCAGGGTGGACGAGTATCAGGACTTGCCATTTACATCCGGTCCGTAGTCTATTGCACCACACAATGCCAATTTGAAAAATGGGGTCTACTGGACCCCACATCTTGAAAAACACGCGTGGCAGTTCCCCGCCGCTGATCTGCAAAGATCAGTGGCGGAGGTCCTCCGCCCGTTCTTTTCAAGAAGTGGGGTCCAAAAGGCCCCAATTTTTTATTTTTAAGGAGGCATCGGCCTCCCGGGGGCTGGGCAATCGCGGGCATGCCCATGACTCCCCGGTACCCCCTCCCCACAGCACGCTGGGTTCAACCGGGGGTCAGAGTCATTTTAATTAAACTTGCCCCCAATTCATAGAGTGGAGACCATACTAACTAACTGCAAAAAAAAAAACCGAAAAAAAAAAAAAAAAAGTCAAAAGCAGTAAGTCCAACTCTCATGCGAGCGCCTGGCGGCTCATTCATCTGTCCATAAACTAGAGCTACTTTGGATTCAGAAATGTTTTCTTCGTTAATAACCTTAGATTCTTTCATCTCCATATATAAGTCGTTTCCTTCACGAGTTCTTTATTTTCAAAAAAAAAATTTTGCGAACTAAAATATGAATTTAAATTTCTAAAGTTATTATGCTATCTTAACAATTAATTTTCCCTGAAATTCATTATGATAAAATCGATAAAATACGAGGTATAAATATTTCAATAATAACTAGTTGTCATACAGATACAGAAGCTTGGATGTATGAAAAATATCACAAGGACTATAGCATGCCGGTAAGTAATTCATCAATATCAATTCATAAAAATTGCAAGTGAAAAGGTGTATGGATAAATAAAAACAATCGATATACCATCTCTTTTTTATTTAGGTACCAAAGAACCACCGGAATTGTTTAGATAACCTACTCTCCCATTAGGATAGGAAGACGATGAGAACAAAATATATATATATCGTCAAATAGATATATCGTCAAATAGAACTGCCCGGTAAACCGTAGGCAGAGAGGGAGAAGAGGACAACAAACGAGGGGCTGTGACAAACTGTTTCGTCGGAGTTTCACCGACTCATATATTAAACAGCAAGGCAAAAGTGCACTTTCATGAAATTTCACCAACATTCCAATTTCAGAAATCTTGGGAAATTTCAGAAATCTTAAAAGGGGAAATTCCAATGCTCCAAATGACACCAAATTTGGCACAAAGCAACCTTGAACCAAAACAAGAACAGTGCAATAACCCATGCCATATGTCTCGTGGAAAGTCTGAGGGCCAACTCGGCCGCCCTCAGCCCGGGCCGAAAACAGGGGCAAAGACCCCACACGAATATTCAGGGCCTGGACAAGAGACACGTCAACTGCCGTGACCCAACAGTCAAAGTCCAAAGGTACCCAGCCGGTCAAGCACACACACTTGTTTGTATGCAGGTACCCAGACAGCATAAGGTCCAAGGGGAATGTCTGCAACTGTACGATCCAGGCCTTCGGCTGTGACTCAATCTGGACGACTGAGGGAAGGAGACCCGAGGCCAGACAGCCTCGCCAAATGCTACTTAAAGACTGGCCTCCAGGTGGTCAGCATTCAGTCTTGCTATGCTGCTTTGACGCTGGCTCGACTTTGACACGGCGCCAGCTTCAGGCTGACTTTGCGCTGGCATTGCCGAGGATGACACGCAGTAGCCATGCTGACGTGGTGCTGCCTCTGGTACATGTGGCGCGGCCTCTGGTCTACGTGGCATGCTGACGTGGCGCTGCCTCTGGTACATGTGGTGCTGCCTCTGGTTTACATGGCATGCTGACATGGCGCTGCCTCTGGTCTATGTGGCATGCTGACGTGGCGCTGCCCCTGGTACATGTGGCACCACCTCTGATATAAGTGGCGCTGTTATTGGTCTTCATTGATGACGTGGAGTATGCCACCTTTCTTGATTGCCGACGTGGCATTATCCGCGCTGTCTACATGAGGTGACTGGTTGCGAGGGAGAGGAAGATCGGGATCTGTGGTTATAGAGGATCGGGTACTCACTTGCGGCTGACGTCGTCACTGGACATTTGCTGTGCCTTCAGAGTCTTCATGAGATAACGTGCCATGTGGCACTACTGTATGAAACCAGGATTATTCTTATTATCATTGATGATGTAGTGTGGAGCAGCCCAGAGAAGGAGAGGGATCAGAAGATTCTCTCTTCTTCTCCTATGTCTAGTCTCCCTCCACACTCTTCTATTTTTGGATAATGAGATATTGTTTGTGATATCACTTCACGATCTGGAGACTTTCAGACAGATATTGAAACTACTGTTGATTGACGACTTCTGGGTATCTATCAGACTGGGTTCATTGCAACAGGCCAAAAAAAAAAAAAAAAAAAAAAACATAAAATTTGACCCCCGAACCCTAATTTCAGTTTTGAACCCGTTACCCAGGGCCTGAAAGTGGGGATCCCCGTTAACCACTTGTGCTGCCGGGCTCGTCAACTGCTAGGCCCGGCCGGCAGCCTCCTGGTTGGCGGGCACCCGATCCAACCGGGGATCCGCCCTGATCAGTCCACAATTGTCTCATTATGGCTGAGAGATCCTGATACAGAGGCATTGATTACTTCTGATATCTGTGCACTGACTATTTGGCACATCTCAAAAGTGCTGCACTTGGACACTGACAAGAACACAGGAAGAGACTACAGCACACACGAAAGCGGACAGCACAAACAAACACATGAAACGAGAGGAAAGAAAGACGTTCCAGATAGAATAATATTGTGTGTGTGTGTGTGTGTGTGTGTGTGTGCGTGTGTGTGTGTGTGTGTGTGTGTGTGTG